GGACTTAAGATGGTTGTAAATAACATAGAACCAGGAATCTACATTAAACCCTGGGTGAAATCCTGGACTTGCCACATTTTATAGAGATGCCAAGAGCTTTGTTTGATAAATATTGGTTTGGGTGAGTCTGTGACTACATACTGTGATACAGACCTTAAGTTTTGTCATCGTGTTCTTCACAATTTCCCTCCCTGACTGAATGCATGAGATGGATAACTAGAATTTGTGCCTTTTGCATAATTTACTTTACATCATGAATTATGTTTCAATGTCTTTATATGTGAGCCCAGGTTTTTAGAATCAATCACAGGAGCATTTTGACATCCCCAGTGTGCTGTAGGGACAGAAAATATTGGATGTATCACACCTATATAACTGGATAAACCCACAGGTGTAGAAGGTGGGTCTAAGCAAACACATTCCACAAATCCACAAATCTTAAAGCTCATTCTTATCCAACATCTGTGTATACAAAAAGATGCAACACATTTTTTATTTTGTGAAAAGAATATATTTAAAAATCAGGCAGAAGAAGTGACTGCATGGTGAATATTTTGGTGAAATAAAAATCTGACTACAAACAGATGGATCACTTCAGAAAGAGAGACCTCTGAATGTCATACCTGGTAATAAATGAGATAAATCAAATGGCTCTCCTGAGTATTTTCTCATTTCAGCTCTCTATTTTTCAAATCTCCACCAAAAATGTACTGTTACAGTTCTGCAACATCTTATGATAAACACAGGCTGAGTGTCCTGATGTCATCACAAGTAGGATCCCCTAAACCTGAGGGTTATCAAGCTATATATTAATCATAACAAGGAAATCCATCATAACCATATACAGTGCAAACTCCATTTAGAAAAGAAGGGTTCATCTGATGGCCACTGCATTCTTTTTTTATTCTATCTCCTTTCAAAGTCAGTATCATGATACTCCACCGTCCTAGTGAATAAAGCCTGAATAAATTAGTTTATCTCTTAAGTTTACTACTGATTGAAGTAAGGCATTCCCAGCCTTTGTTTTCCCTAAAATAAACCATGTAAAACACATTTGCTGTACTTAATTAACAAAAAAGAAGTAGTTATGCAGTTGTCAACTATTTGATAGTTTTAGGGTTTTTTTTTTAAGGATCTACTGCATCCCATTCAAACTTTCCTGTAGAATTAAATCAGCTCAATATGATCTGGATGAATAGGAGGAAACAAAGAAATGAATGATGTGGAAGAGATCTGTTTAGAAAATTGCTAGGAAAAAATTTTTGTTGTCTTTTCAATATGATTTTAATAACCCATACCAGTTACCAAACCCACATTCTTATAGTCAAGGAGACAAAGGATCCCTAATTATGGAGTTTAACCTTAGGTTTACAACATGAGAAGATGAATCCAAACTGAGGCGCAATATTGCTTATCTCTCTGGTTTTCTGCCTTGCTATACATTTATTTTCCACGCATTTTTCAGTGCTGTTCAGATACTGCAATGCTGCCCAAAGATTGGCAAAAAATGTAGCACTTTCATCTTTTGCATGTTGCAAAAGTCAACCTTGAATTACTCCTGATTTCCAAGATCTGGAACCTACAGACAAGGATTTAACCACAGCAAGATTTAGCACCTTCACACATCTACAGAACTTTTTCCACAGGCCCTTCCAATCCCATTTTAGTTCTTGCTGCAGGGCCTTAAAGCCCAACAACTTGAGTTTAAAGTCTGATACAGAGATTATTATCTTCCTACTGTCCTAAACTCTGGAAGTTCTGGAAGATGTTCTAAAGCAGACTTGAAATGGATCAGGGAACGAGGAGGAACACAGTGAGAGTTTCTCAGCAGGTCTGGGTTGCCCTAAGGGCAAACTGGTCAAAATGGAAGGTTTTTTAAGTTGCACTCCTGACCCAAACCTGGCCAGTAGATTTTCCAGCAGGCCAGCCTGGAGATGAGGAAAGCATGGATCCTTAGTCATGTTTTCATCTAAAAGGACAGAAAGTAATTTCCTATGTAAGGAAAACGGGAATAAACTTTATTAAGCTGTTTCTATTTGAACTGGAGGCCTCTGTACAATCTTCGTAATAGCAAGCAAATGCTTGCAGTTCATTTCCACTTTTCTTTTCAGCACTTTGTGCACTGCAGCAATGCCATGGAAAACTGTCCTATCGAGCAGGAAGCAGGAACCAGGGCATGGCTTAACGTACAGGGGGCAGGGTGAAGTATTAAAGGATGGCTTACAGCTTATGTGCTTTGCACATTTTCATGTTCCTGTGTTCCTGATACCTGGGCACATTTACTCAAACACAGCATCGCCAAAGAAACAGAAAACCACGAGCATTTTGGGTGGACAATTTCTATTTATCATTCAGGATTTTCATGGGATTGTGTTTGCAAAGCCCTGGTCATGCAGGTAGGCAGAGAGAGGACCAAGTGGCAGTCGTCTAAAAACCTCAGCCAGTTCAATCTGAGATATTAGTTATGTTTGGTTTAAACAGGTGCATGTTGAATCTTTCCAAGGATCAGAGATATGTGCAGAGAAGCCTGACATGCACATACACACCAGGCTGGCATCCTCCCACTACAAAATATCCAGTTGTACTTGTTGTATAGCAAAACATAACATGGTGTGATTATGGAAAACTGCAGTTAAACCATGGTGGAAAGACGTTATTCTATAATTATAAAGTACAAGGATATGAAATTAACCAACAATCATTAAAGAATAACTGCACTGTTCACCAACTAAACTTAAAGCTCATGCCTTATTTAAGCTGCTTTGCATTTATTCCTAAATACAAAACTTTATAGAAATCTGAACTGAGGCACCACTTAAAAAACACACTTACAGCAAGTGATTTACTTTTTCAGAGCCAAGAGAAATACATGCCTATGCCTGGACCATGAATAGCTCCAGCTTTCTGGAACTGAAACCTCAGGTATGTATTTTTTCTCCTGTTACTAACTGTCAGAAACAATAACTTAGCAAGGAAAACGAAAAATTAAAACCAGTATGGGTCTGAAAGTGCAAGTTGTTATTGCACATGAAAGACCCAGAATATTTACAAAAACATTTCTACTTGCATCCCATTTTGCTGAGTAAAACACAGATTACCTTTTATCCTTGATTGCTTTCTTTATAATACACAACAGATAAGCCTTTTGAATACCACAAATTTTTTTCATTGTTATCATTCTGAGTTCAGACTGTGGAATGGACCAGAGAACACACCGATATAAATCCAGCCAATGTACTGGCAAAAACCACAACGGGGATAAATCACTTCAGTCCCCACTCCTTGTCAGAACGGTGGTCACGGCTTGGCAAGATACAAGTCAAACTGGAAATAGCTGTAATCACAGTTTACAAGAGTTATCCTAATGAAAACCACTTCTTTGTGTATCAGCTGCAGGCATCCAGCCTTTGAAAGCCCCAAGCACAGGACCTTTCAGATCAGAAAGGTGCACATATTGAGCCTTTTGCTGAACTGGAAAATTAGGCTGAGCTACAGAATATGGGGAACAGCCCAATGTGCTGAAAGAGCAATAATGGCAAGAAAAATTGATCAACTTCGGGTTTCGAGTGAAAACAGTTAAAAAAAGGATGCAAAGCAAGTGACAAATGGGATCAATCCCCGTGAGCGCTGAGGAGGAAGCTGACAATGGGAAGGAAGGAAATGGCTCCTTCCCCTGTCTGTGCACAGGAAAGGCTGAGCACCACAAGCTCGCCAGGTGCCACGCACCTTTCTGCTCTTTTGGATCACTCCAGGCTAACACCCTGATTTCGTTCTGTGCCCCTCACCACAAGGTGGCACATATGTACTCCCTGGGATTTTTAACTGCCTCTGCAGTTGGTTTTTAAGAAGTAACTCTTATCCAGTTGTAGACCGAGGAAATAAAGGGGTGGGATAAAAGCAGGGAATGATAATCCGTGTTATATTATCAAGAATAAACAACTAAATGTAAGTCATCCTTTCTTAATAAGTGGATTCATTCCAAACTCTCCTTGCTACTATTGTTTACTAAAGGGACTGAGGTGTACTCACACCAACAGTGTGGCAATTCAACAGGATGAGGAGCTATTAAAAAGTTTGCTTCATTATGTTTTACAAATACATTCACCAGAAACTCAGCAGAATTTACAGATGAAATGCAGCACAGACAGCCTGGTGCCAGAGACGGAAACAGGCACACAGGAGCAGAAACCCAGGTGTATATACCCAGGATTTTGATTCTTCAGTCTTTAAGCCTGGGGTTCCCCATTGGTTGTTACGCAGTATTAGGAGTGTTCTCACATTGCTGCCACTTTTCATTCTCACTTTGTGAGTTTCAAGAACAAACTACATGAGCTAAGGAAGGCTGTTCCCTACTTGCAATTTTTCCTTCGTGCTGATAAAGGCCGTGTTTGTATATTTGGACATTTCAAAGTCTGACATTCATTCTCGTTTTCACCTAGTGGCTGATGAAATAAAAATCTCAGTGCAGTAGTCCCTCTTTTCAAATTCATGATATGAAAATGCACTGTATGATCTATGAGGGCCACAGCACAGAACAGAGCTACGTTTCATATATCCTTCAGAAAGGCACTAGGCAGACTGTGAACACACCAAACTGCAGAAGAGATTTGAAAGCAAACTGAGATAAGCGTGTGAGTATGAAAGAGAGGAGGAGGAATTGTTTAAGGACAGCAAAATACTAACCTAAAGCAAAGCCCAGAAACACTTGCTAGCATGTGAAGCAATTCCATCCACGCACCACGAAATATACGTTTTTAGAAAGTAGATTCTTGGAGATTTAAAGCATAAACTATGTACACAGCTCCCTCTGATGACCATTGGACACGATACAATGCAAGTCTCCTTTTACTTTTGTTCGTGCACTCAACTGACAGCTGACTGGTTAAATTCTAATTGCTTCCAAGTGAGGTCAGCAAAGGTATTTATCGAAAAGGACTGAACAACAGGCTCAACACACACATGCACGCGCACGCACACACACACCATCGCTCCGGCCCTTGATTTATGGAAACAATTACAATGCTGGTGGAGCCTTTCTGAGCCGAGAAAGTTTGTAGCTACAGTAGAGTGTCTCATGTTGCAAAAAGCAGACAACAGAAATGGAGTACTTGGGCATCCAGCTCTTATCAACAGGAACAAGTAAGTTATCTGTCCTTTACGAGAACGGTTTCTAACAGCTATTAGCTTTTATCTTCGTTTGTCTACGCTAGATGCTAAAAAAAGATTTAAGAAAACAATTTCTACTAATAATCTGAAAAGGGTGGGATGAAAATACAGGGCTGAAGCTGTGAGGTCTGTTTGGAAATCTAGCGAAAAGTTAAATGATAGATTGTGCTAATAGTGACTGTATAGGTATGAAGTAACAAGGAGAATTTTATCATGCATGAGAAAGCAGTTGAAGTGAATCAACAGGAGATTTTTGGAAGGACTTAGAACTGGAGACAGAATTCTGTTTACAATCAGGGGAAATGTCTATTTTTGTAAAAAATTGTATGAGAGATATCTGTTGTATATACATTTGCATATTGTTAAAAATCAGCTCGGCATGTCATATATTTGTGTGCAGTACTTTTCAGTAGCATAATGTAACCTTGCATGTTTGTAACAATTGAGCATAAAGACTTACACATGCACCTTTTCTCCCAGATCTTTTATTTTCAGTGCAAGCAGCAAATTCAAGTAGTAAAGAAGGTCACGACAACAGAGGTTTTTATAACTTGTGTCTTTAAAGGATATTCTGACTGAAGAGATATTTAAGAAGCTCTTCTATTTCGCCATTAACTATTAAGGAATAACGATCAGAATTCTAGAAGAGGGAGCAATCTCATTTAAATGAATCTGTAACTCATAAAGACAGAAGGCAGGTCGGTGACCTAAGAGCAACAGTCTACTTGAGATTTAATTTTCATTATGTTGTTCATGAACACCCAGAACACTGCACTATAATGCACAAATGGATACTGACATGGATCCTGCCAATTTTGCTCTACAGATCATACTTTTACATTATCTTTCTAATGGGCACTATATCTTTAGCTTGCAATGACATGACCCCAGAGCAAATGGCTACAAATGTGAACTGTTCCAGCCCTGAGCGACACACCAGAAGCTATGATTATATGGAAGGGGGGGATGTGAGAGTGAGAAGACTTTTCTGTCGAACTCAGTGGTATATGAGGATTGATAAGCGAGGCAAAGTAAAAGGGACAAGAGAAGCAAACAACAACTACAGTAAGTAATACTTTTGCTTTTCCTATTTCTAAGTTTTCGGGACTCTACCCAGCATTGTTTCCTATTCCTTGGTTTATCGTGATTTCAGAGGAGTTTTGCATGGTGAACTGACCGTTGTGTAAAACAAGTCTGCCAATTAATCGTACAGCAGGACATTTGTTATTGATTTTGAAATGCGTCATTTTAAATACTACATTGTAGATCTGCTAATGTATTAGTTACAGCTGGGAACTATTAGCAAACAGAGAGCCTATTTTAACAAGTGAACTAAGGTTGTAAGTATGAAAATGTATAAGCACCAACTTTGCTCGTAAAGTACCTCTGAAACGTTAAACCACGTTTATATAGTCCACAAACTACCTAAAAGTTTGCTGTGTTTGAGTTAACAATTAAAACATATGCAATACTAGAAAGTTCAATGGAAAGAATTATGTAAACTCTCTTGCAAAATTTTTTAGATAGTTTGCCAAGCCAGGAACAAAATCTATTATAGTTTCTGCAGTTCATTATTACAATGATCATGATGCTGAAAAAATATTCTCTCCCCTTTCTTCCAAAACCATGACTCATCTAGAGAGAATGGACATATAATATTTTACAAAGCTCTACTCAATACAATTTCTGAACTGGAAAAATAATTGTTGCCCTAATCTATGTTTTTCACTCAAATACCTTTGTATCTTCAATTTACACTTAAAGCATCAATTTTTACAGCCACTATTTTTTGCCACTTCTTCTTTTGGGTTGCTACAAATATATTGTTTATTTAGAGAAACATGACATCTACTTGAAAGGACATTACTTTATTAAGATACAACAGGAAAATACATAGGATTATACTGCATATTCCAAAATAAAAGTATAAGGAAAAGGGGCCAGGGACAAATAAAAGGATGAATATATTTCCAAGGATGCTGTTAAATACAGTTCTAATGTAGGTTATATGTAATACTGTGCTTTTTATAACTGCAGCAGCAGCAAAAGAAATCAGTAAATCAACCCTCAAGAACTGGTGGTGTGATTCAGCTTTCAGCTGGAGCTGCCTGCTTGTTTTCTATAAGAACAGCACTTTCCATGCCATAAGTTCCTGCCTAGTGGGCTGCATCATTTATTTCTTTACTTCAGGACTACATTAAGTGCTTGGCAACTTGTGTGGCTAAAACTGCATTGACTAATGTGACTGTTTCTTTTAAAATTTGTTTCCATATGTCTCCTTTCTTCCTACACTATTACATAGTGAATAACCATATTCCTCTGAAAGACAACACATGGCCTGCAGCCAGCTAAGTTATTTGGTCCATATTCAAGACTCCCTTTGAGTTTCAGGACATTGCTACAATAGAGATCCATAGGGCTGGTTTTGAAGGGAAATGTTGTTCCCACAAAAATCACTGAAAAAAACCCCGTTACTGAGCATTGAAACAGATTCTTCTAAATTAACGTAGATCAGTGAATATCCAACCAATTTTTTATTTTGTTATTTGCAAACACCTTAAAGAAATTATGACAGCATATGAGCTGAATAATTATATACATTTGTGCCTTTTTTTTAGTTGAATGAAGCCTAAGTAAAAATTCTGTGAGCAATTTAGCATTATTTCAAATTCAAGTGAAGGTTCTCAGTTCTCTGCAGGATTTTGTGCTGCTGAAGCACATTAATGACACCTTGACACATTCTGGAGTGAGACCACTGGAGAATAATAGATCATCTTGTGCTAATGATGTAGTCTTAAGTTTTCTGAACATTTTATGATTACTTAGTGATGGTAACTATTACAAATTCCAGAAAGGCACACTTGAGTCACTAAACCCTTACCTTTGTATTGCAATGAAAAAAAAAATTGAATCCTTTTTCTGGTAAATGAAATGAGTATCAGGAGAACAAACAATCAAAAATGGAATGGTTATCAGGTGATTGATGTGTGCTTTGATGAACTTTGATTTATTGTCTCACTAAATTTGACTGAAGTATGTAGGAAGTCTCCCACCATCTTAAGTTTACGTCTCTTACTGTAATTTATCTATTGTATCCCAGGGCATAACACCCAAATGCTTTTGTTGGACAAGTAGAATAGGCAAATATAGACAAAGAGGACAGGAAAAATGTGAACACTTAAAACTTGGATTGCCTGAGAAACTAAAAAAATCAGTGTTGTAGTATTATTATAAAAACCCTTTTTTTCATACTCTCTGCTCAGCAAAAGATGCAAGCAGCCTTTTTGAAGATGTGCTTATGGCTCTCTACTGAAATATCTATAAAGAAAATAATATTTTATGAGGGGGGAAACAAACAAACCAACCAAAACAAAATCAAAACCAACCAACCAACCAACCAAAATAATACAGGAATAAAAATCCCCACCTGGACCAACACCCTTTCCCTAAGCAAAATTTTTAACATTAGGAGACTTAAAAGGCTATTTTTATCCAAGGTCTCTGAAAAACATGAATTTAAAATCATACCCATGACAAAGATGTATTAATGGGTGTGTTCAAATATTCTTGTTCCATGATTTCCAGTTGTGGAAGTCAGTAAAAGGTAAATCAGACCTGTTTCTAGGATGCAATCCCAGAACAGCTGCAGTCAAACTAAGCAATGGATATGAAAAGTGTTGTTCCAAGAAGTTTTTTCTTCTTTTATCCTAATTTTCCACTTACATAATAAATAAAAGGAATTCTTTTCCCTTTTGAATTCACTAATATGTTCTACTAATATAAAAATAAAAAAAAATCATATTTTTACCTATCATAACTTCGCTTCATAAAGGAAGCTGCCCTGACAGTTTTATAGGCGGAATCAACTATTTGTTTTGAGCCCATGAACTGGGAAGCATGAATACTGTGAAAAACAAACTTCCCTCAGAAATGTCTGTAGAATGATGACTTCATCACCACTTTGGCAAGTGCCAAAATTCACAAAGGTTCTCCCATCAGTTGGAACTATGAACATCAGAATGCCAGGATGGTGAGGAATTAAGGTCTTTGCACTTCAAACTTCTCCAGTTACAGAGTAAAAATATAGATACACAGATACTATGAAAGCAACAGCAAAAATAATCTAAGTGTTAAAATTTCCTCAAGTTTTAGGTTAACAGCTACTGTATTAAATGTATGTGGATTCAAATTTCATGACATAACTGAATGCTGAACCAAATCCTCATTCACCAGCTGTAATTAATCTTTATTTATCATTCACTTGCTTCAAGACACATCAGAGCTTGGTTCAAGCAATCTGTGTGTGCTGTGCAAGCCAAAGGGAATTGCTGATCCTGTTTCCAGCAGCGCTGACCCTGTTAGGTACCCACAGAACGTGGTCCTGGGCACATTTCAGAAAGCAGCAGAGCCTTCTGCTGGACATAAAGGTGATAACTCAAGAGTGAACTAATCAAATCAGAGGACGGTGATCTCCACTAAGCAGAGGAAATCACTTTGCACCTGACAGCTTTGCTTTCAGTCTGAAAGCTAAAAGGCAGAGGGAGAACGGAGGGTCACACACTGACAAACTAAAGCGAGAATCAGGAAGCAGCCAAGAGATTAGGTCACCCAGAAAAATCTGTCATTATTCATAGAAAAATTTCTCTTTGACAAAAACTTATTATACCTTCTCCAAGCCTAAACCAGATGGTTTTTATTGAAAATTAAATTTGGTATCTTGTTCATGGAAAAGAATCTAATTGGGCACACAGAACAGACTCTTTGAATTCTTGATTGTAAAATGTGAGATTGACTGAAGGAGTCTTGGGGATAACATGGCAATTTGTTAACTCAATCTTTGATAGAAAAATAAGCCTCTCCTTATCACTGTTTACTCCTTCCTTCATTTCAGTTTGTGCTTATTAATTTTGCCACATTTTACTCGATTTTTTTCAGAAAAAAAAAAGGGCAGCAAAAAATCCAAGTTTATTTTGACTCTATCCAAGAGGATTTACAACTATGACTGGATGATGTTTTAGGACTTTCCACGCTCTGTTGCCTTTGGAATCTCATTTTAAAGACTTCAAAGGGTCTCTTAGTTACTAGAAAAGCCTTCCCGGAACCTGAATCCTAAGATGTCTGATCCTATCATATTCCATGTGTGCTCTAAACCCAGAAAGTGCCAATTTCCTCTTCTTTTCAGTAATGTAGAAAAAGTAATCTAGTGAGATCTTGACACAAAACGGCTGAAATCTAGATTAAAACTTCTGTCTTGGAAAACGACTTCTAATTTGACCAAAATCCAACAAGCCATAGTTTTCAGCAATATTAAATGCACTCTAGCCCAGTTTTGTTCAAACCTAAACCCTAACTGATGGCAAAATACACTTTAAATGTATCTTAGTGGTTAAATACTCAAGCTTGCTTAGAATTATTTACAATAGCATTTTAAATATGCTTCTTAGCATAAAACAAATGCTGGACTATGTATGCTGTGCCACTGAATAAATTTTGTTTCTTTTGATTAAACACATATTACATAGAGAACCAAGAAGATCCAGTTCCTGAAAATCAGATATTTCAAGGCTGGTATTGTTGTACCAGCTTCAGTTAAGGGTTATGTGTGTCCCAAACAAACAGTCTTTGCAACTGCATTTTTGGTTTTCAAGAGGTTGTTTGTTCATCCCAGATTTTGGTGTCAGAAGACGAACCTTCACTAACCTGAAAGTGCTTTTGTTTCACATTAGTACTCTGTTACTCTTTTCAATTATAACAGAAAGAGATTTAATTCAAGTGGAAATATCTATGTATCCCCTCAAAACCCAGCCTACGGTGCCAAGGATGACTTTCTCTGCTACAGTGATTATTCACACCTAAATAACAGATTTCCCAGGTCCCTCTCCAGTTCTTTGTCCAGCACTGGTGGTACAAACCAACCCCCAGGTTTCCACCAGCAGAGAGACTCTTTGCCTGTACCTCAGCCTCTACTTTATCACAAACCCCAGGTTTTCACCCTCAGCTGTGGATGTAGATGGGTTTTAGCAAAGATTCAGATATCAGAAGCAGCTGAGTTATACCTGCCTTTC